GCGCCACTAGGGAGGCCCTAAACCGGCTTCTTATTAGCCCTGGTGTCTAAGTTTCCTCAGTACCATATAACAGTGTAGCCTTTAGAGTATCTATACAAAGTTTCAGTGGTAACATCAGAAATGCCCATCATCTAATTGTAGTGGGCCATAAACAGCTGTACACATGTATGTGTAATAAATATCTAAGGAAATAAAATGATAAGATTAAGAAAGAATCTGGAAGATCTGAATAGACATTTCTCCAAAGAATTGTAGGTCAGGTGCAGCAGACCTCTCCTGTCTCCCCGCTGCTCCCCTCAGCGGTGTGTTTCAGTCAGTCTGCATGTTCTGTTCCCCACTCTGTCTCTGGTGAATCCTCTCACCACCACCCTCTCCCAACCCACATCTCTGGCCAACACGCCCAGCTCTTGTATGCATAAATAAATAAAATCAATCTTCAAAAAAATAAGTAACTAAATCTGCAGAGGGTTTAAAGGAGTTTTAACAGAGGAGAGCAGAATCTTGGAGGACTAGAAGGCATCTGCCAAGTGGAGAAGAGAGGTAGGGCATTCTAAAGAGGGCGTAGTATGCTCCACTCAGGACAGGCCACACTAGTGGGCCTGACAAGTTTACTGTGGCTGAACTGTGTAAGGATGAGTGAGATGTGAAATTCTCTCACCTCTGTCTGGAGTAGCACTTGTAGACTAAACAAACTCCTTATGTGACATAAACCTAGAAACACGTATTGATAGAATAGGCCTACCTACCACCATGGCCACAACCAAAAATAAAATAAAATTAAGAAGTGAATGTATTGAGCTTTTAGGAAAACAAGGGAAATCTCCAAGGGCAAGAAACCAACTGGAAACTGAAAGTCAGAGTGACTAAGTTCAAAGTAATGCTGCAGCAACCTTGGTGGGAGTCAGAGTTGGTATCAGGTCTGACTGAGAGGCTTCAGTGTATCCTCCACGTGCGGCTGTGAGGCTGTGCACAGTTAGCATTGAGCCCTGCTGCACAAAGCAAGGAATTTGAGGGCCTCCCTGGTGGCGCAGCGGTTGAGCACTGGGTTGCGAAGCTGCCCGCGGCCTCTGCGGCACCGTTTCAATCCCCGGCTGCTCCCCGGTCACCAGAGGAGGGTCCCACATGGCGCACAGACCTCTCCTGCCGCCCGCTGCTCCCCTGAGCAGTGTACTTCAGTCCTTCTGCCTGCTCTGCTCCCCGCTCTGACTCTGGTGAATTCTCTCACCCTCCAGCGCTTCTGACTGTACCCAGTGCGTGTATAAACAAACAAACAAATAAATAAATAAAACATGCCTCTATAAAAAAAAAAAAAATTAACAAAACAAGGAATTTGAAAAGCTGTCCCCTTATTGCAAGGTGGGATTCTTGAGCATATGCAGGAAGAAAAGGATGCTTTTCACAATCCAAGGCTTTGTGTTTAAAAAAAAAAAAGAAAGAAAGAAAAGAAAAAAGAGCAACAGCAGCAGTGGGGCCTCCCTGGTGGCCTAGGAGTTAAGCCTCAGCACTACCACTACGACCACCTACCTTTGATCCAGAACAGGGAGCTAACATACCTATGGCGCAGACCTCTCCAGTCTTACCCGCTGCTCCCCTTCAAAGTGTGTTTCACTGGATCTGCCTTTTCTGCTCTCCACTCTGTCTCTGGTGAATCCTCCCATCCCCTGCACCTCTGGCTTGTACCCCAGTTATTATATGTAAAAATAAAAATAAAATCTTAAAAAAAAAAAAACTAGCAGCAGCATCCTCTGGGAAATCAAAGCTTAAAAGTTGTGCCACATGTGAGATTGAATTAAAATAACATAGAAGAGCCTCCCCAGTGGTGCAGCGGTTGAGCGCTGGGTTGCGAAGCTGCCCACAGCCTCTGTCTGCAGCACCGGTTCGATCCCTGGCTGCCAGGCGAGGGTCCCACATGGCGCGACAGACCTCTCCTGCCGCCCTCTGCTCCCCTCAGCAGTGTACTTCTTCAGTCTGACTGTTCTGCTCTCCCCTCTCTCTCTGGTGAATTCTCTCACCCTCCGCGCTTCTGACTGTACCCAGTGCTTGTATAAATAAATAAATAAATAAATCTTTTTAAAAATAAATAAATAAAATAACACAGAAAACTGTACTAAAAAAGGAGTGTTTTCATATTTTGATCCCGAGGCTGCAGACTGAGAACTGGCACCCTTTCTTCTTTCTGTACCCTCAGTGTATACAACAGCATGTGACACAAAGAAGATAGTCATTAAATAATGTGGAGCAAAAATCACCTTAAAAGCAAAAAATCACCTTATTTTCAATACCTTTGAAAATTAATTTTTTTAAAGATTTATTTATGTATACAAGAACTGGGGTACAGACCAGAGGTGTGGGGGGTGAGAGGGTTCACCAGAAACAAAGTGGGGAACAGAACAGGCAGACTGACTGAAATACACTGCTGAGGGGAGCAGCAGGCAAGACAGATGTCTCTGCGCCATGTGGGCAGCTCCCTGGCAGGGGATGGAACTCGTGCTGCAGAGACTGCGGACAGCTTCACAGGTTGCCTCTTAGCCCCTTGTGCCACCAGGGAGGTTTGAAAACTAATTTTTTTAGCTTTTCCCTAATAATTTGGTGATTGAATATAATTATGCCTATATTCCTTGCCCTTTTAAAAACTGAGGTCTTGGGGCCTCCCTTGTGGCTCAAGGGGTTAAGATACAGCAATATAAAGCTATCCGCAGCTACAAGAATTCAACCCCAGGCCAGGGAGCTACCCACATGGTGCAGCAGACCTCTCCTGTCTCGCCTGCTGCTCCCCTCAGCAGTGGATTTCAGTAGATCTGCCTGTTCTGCTCCCCACTCTGTCTCTGGTGGATCCCCTCAACCCCCACACCTCTGGCCTGTACTCCAGTTCTTATATGCATAAATACATAAATCTTTACAAAAAAAACTAAACTAAAATTCGGTTTTTCTGTCACACTACCTTCAAATGCTCAATACCTTTATGTGACTATCATCAACCATACTGGACAGAGGAGATATATAGAGTATTCCTATTTTACAGAGAATTCTGTTGGACAGTTCTACCTTGTCTTTCACAATTTCCAGGTGTCTTCTGGGCTCTTTCTCCTCTGAACCCTATCTCATAAAACCCTCCAATTTTATTATTTCAGACACAGTCTTGGTTCTCCCTGCAGCTCCACACTGAGCCTTCTCAAAATGGGGCTGTGTTTTTGCCCTTACTCAGTTCTTTTTTTTTTTTTTTTTTTAATTTATTTATTTATGCACACAAGAGCTGGGGTACAGGCCAGAGGTGTGGGGGTGAGAGGGCTCACCAGAGACAGAGTGGGGAGCAGAACAGGCAGACTGACTGAAACACACTGCTGAGGGGAGCAGCGGGCGAGTCAGGAGAGAGCCATGTGAGTAGCTCCCTGGCTGGCCGAGGGATTGAACTCGTGCTGCAGAGGCTGCAGATTGCTTCATAGGTTGTGTCTTTTTTTTCTTTTTTTAAAAAAAGATTTATTTATTTATACAAGAACCAGGGTACAGGCCAGATGCACGGGAGGGTGAGAGGATTCACCAGAGACAGAGCGGGGAACAGAACAGGAAGACTAAATAAATACACAGCTGAGGGGAGCAGCAGGTGAGATAGGAGAGTCTGCTGCACCCTCAGCCAGGATTGAACTGGCGCTGCAGAGGCTGTAGACAGCTTCACAACGCTGCGCAACCGCCTGTGCCACCAGGGAAGACCCCATAGGTTGTGCCTTAACCCCTTGGACCATCAGGGAGGTCCCTTACTCAGTTCTTAATAAGTAGCTCCTAAGTACCATTCAGGGCAAAATGAGGAACACAAAACTCCAACCAAGTATTACCTCACCTTTGATGGTGGACAGCAGACATGCCCTCTCTGCTGACAATACTCACCCATTCTGCCTTAGTGCCAGGCAGCCCCTTCTCAGGATGAAACCAGAGTGCCACAGGGGGACATATCACCAAGTAAACCCTACTTGGGGCTCCAATCTCTGTAGGCCCATTTACAGCTCTGGTTTGCATATACAGGTATTTTTTTTCCTAATCAGAGCTCCTTACAGCAACTAGAGGGCAGTAACCAAATGCATTACTTCATTATTTTTCACAAGTCAGGTGTCAGTTTAGATCCTTAGTAACTGCTTTTGTGTAACACTGCATTATCCCAAAACTGGGAATAATCTTTGGCAGGAAGGCTCCCCCGGGGTGTAAAATTCTTGTCAATGCTCATAAGTGTAATAGTGTTAGATAAGTGTATTTTTAAAAATGCAATGTATTTAAAAATGAAATATCATGTTGTCTTTCAAACGCTTCCTAGCAAAAAATATAACACAGATACAGCAAATAGTAGTTTGTTAACTGTAGATGATGAAAACATAGGTGGGTGATATACAAGATATTTCTGTCTTAAATTATTTTAGAAAAAAGTCACCATTAGCATATCCTGTGGAACTGCTTTAAGTAGCTCATTCCTACTTAATGTTAAATGGTGTTTCACTATATGGATAAACATTTAGTTTACTCACTGGTGAAAGGGATTCAGACTGTTTCCAGTTTTTTGACTATTATACTGCAGTTTGTTTCCATCCAAGTATTTATGTTGGCTTCAGTGTTTTAAAACTAAACCTAAAACATTAATGTTTAATACTCTTCTGTGTTTAGGTCCTATCCAGTAATGCTTTTTTTTCTGGGGGATTTATTTATGCATATAAGAGCTAGAGTGCAGGTCAGAGGTGTGTGTGTGGGGGGGTGAGAGGATTCACCAGAGAGGGGGGAACAGAACAGGCAGATACACCATTGAGGGGAGTAGCAGGTGAGACAGGAAGGGTCTGCCTTGCCATGTGATTCACCTCCCTGGATGGGAGGGATAGCTTCACAGTGTTGACACGCAACCCCTTGCATCACGAGGGAGGCCCCAGTAATGTTCTTTTTCTAAACTTTAGTTTACCAGATTTTAATAAAACCAGAATGACTACAATTTTCAGAAAAGGCTGATTTAGCTTTCTGGAGGTTTGACATCTGTTTCATAAATGAAATAGAGTCAATTATATGATGAAAGACGAAACTGGACTTTCAGTGGTCCACTTAATGCAGTATATATACACATGCTGATTTTTAAAGATGCGCGCCTGAAACCTGTTACAATGCAATGTTAAGTCAATGAAAACAAAAAAATCTATGGAATAGACACTTTTGTTACCCACATTTTTCTTTTTTCTTTTAGATTTTATTCATTTATGCATACAAGAGCTGGGGTACAGGCCAGAGGTTAATGTTAAATGGGGGGGGGTGGTGAGAGGATTCACCAGAGACAGAATAGGGAGCAGAACAGGCAGATCTACTGAAATACACTGCTGAGGGGAGCAATGGGGGAGGCAGGGGAGGTCTGCTGCACCATGTGAGTTGCCCCATGGCCTGCCGGGGATAGAACTAGTGCTGCAGTGGCTGTGGACACCTTCACAGGCTGTGTCTTAACCCCCTGCACCACCAGGGAGGCCCTGTTACCCACATTTTTCAATTGATAACACTGGAAAGTATCAAAGAAATGAGGCTGCCTAAGGACACAAAGATTATTTCCTTCAAATATTAAGGACACTGGTGATTTAGAAATCTTATTTCAGATACTGAAATAATTTATAAAAATATTTTATTTTTGCCTTAGTCAGCAGTTGACATAAAAAAAGCCAATGTTGTTCTTTCCCCAACTTTTCACTTGAATCATGAATGTATTTGGAGCCAAAGGTGTTCTTCTAAGCACAAAGCACAAAGATGTGAAGAGTAAAGGCCTATTTCCTGTTTGAAAAAATAAAAGATAATGTTTATCTAAAGTGTTTCCCTCAGCTAGCCTCAGATCACATGACTTCAATGAAGTGACTCAGGAAGAGGCAGGTTCTCTTCTTCCAAATCAATCACAGAACACCTGATGTAAGCAGCAAACCAGAGGTTCAGACACGAAGCTTCACATGAAGGTCCTTCAAAGATCTTTGTGTCTGGCCTGCAAAGGAGTCTTAATTTGGGAGTGACAAAATAAGTGCTTTAGGATTATTTACTCCAAATCTACATTTAGTAATAGTCTAAGGAAAAAGGCAAAGTACCTGTCAAACTCAAGGCTTGGCCCCTACAATACATTTATCTCCACATCTAACTGCTTTCCATAACAGGCTTTTCCCCAATCTGCTGAGGTAAAGTATGATGATGCCAAGGGTTTCTCAGTCATTAAAATCATCATCCCTTAAGAATTTCAAACAATGATACCGATGTGGTTTAATTCTTCTTTTTGCATTTAGGTAAGACTATATCCTATACCAGTCTTATTATGTTCTAGTACAATTTCAAAAATTAGAAAACACACTGAAATTAAAATATGAAATGTTAGGAATCAAAAATAACACAGGGGCCAAAAAGTACAGTATGAGGTAGTCAAGAGTGTAGCTTATATGCACATCACCCCACCTCACCCCAGTGACGAGACCAGGAAGCCACAGGCAACCACAACATCGCCTCACCATAATTACATGGTCATTATGGTCCATCAGAAAGTCTGAAATAGCAACCTAGACCTAGACCAAGACAAGTTGCTCATCCAAAGGAAGCCTAAGTGTCCTCTGCACTAGAACTTCCACGCATGGCGGCTAACACCCTGGGATGGCAGTGCTGTACTAGGGTGGCGGTTCCTTCAGCACGTTGTCAGGAGATCAATATTGAAAGCTGCGCTTAGTCTGGATATCATCAAGTATCTGCTGGAGTTCCTCATCTTCAAATCGCCCCTCCAGACTAGAAAAAGAAAACAAAGAGTGTTTCAGCCATAACATTTCTCCACCTCTGCATTCACCCCTACTCACTGACACCTCATCAACTCACTTTCCTCCCTTTCCTTTTAAAAACATCATAGTTTTTCAAATACATAAAAGATATAGAAAATATGGGCTTCCCCGGTGGCGCAGCAGTGGAGCGCAGGGTTGCGAAGCTACCAGCAGCTTCTGCCATGCTGATTCGATCCCCGGCAACCGGAGGAGGGTCCCACATGGTGCACAGACCTCTCCTGCCGCCCGCTGCTCCCCTTAGCAGTGTACTTTGGTCCTTCTGCCTGTTTTGCTCCCACTCTGGCTCTGGTGAATTCTCACCCTCCCGCGCTTCTGACTGTACCCAGTGCTTGTATAAATAAATAAATAAATAAATCTTAAAAAAAAAAAAATTACTTAAAAAAAAAAAAAAGATATAGAAAATAAGTTAACTTTAACAGTTATCCCTACTTTATTTGAATTTTAACAACATAACAGGAACTGATGGCTCTGTGCAAATAGATGCTCCTCCATTCAAATACCTTCCCCCTCCTCCCCAGAAGTAACTACTTTCCTTAATTTGGCATTATTCCTGTGTATAGTCTTTTATTCTCATCTCTCTCTCACACATTTATAAGCAATATGCAGCACTGTATCAAAACTTTAGGGCCTCCCAGGTGGCACAGCGGTAGAGCGCTGGGTTGCGAAGCTGCCCGCGGCCTCTGTGGCGCCGGTTCGATCCCCGGCTGCTCCCCAGCCACCGGAGGAGGGTCCCACATGGCGCGCAGACCTCTCCTGCCGCCCACTGCTCCCCTCAGCAGTGTACTTTGATCCTTCTGCCTGCTCTGCTCCCCACTCTGGCTCTGGTGAATTCTTTCACCCTCCCGCGCTTCTGACTGTACCCAGTGCATGTATAAACAAAACAAACAAACAAACAAACAAATAAATAAAAAAACATGCCTCTATTAAAAAAAAAAAAAAATCTTTAAAAAAAAAACCAAAAAAACAAAAAAAAACTTTAATAGGGGGCCTCCCTGGTGGTGCAGCGGTAGAGCCCTGGGTTGCGAAGCTGCCCACGGCCTCTGCGGCGCTGGTTCAATCCCCGGCTGCTCCCCGGCCACCGGAGGAGGGTCCCACATGGCGCGCAGACCTCTCCTGCTGCCCGCTGCTCCCCTCAGCAGTGTACTTCGGTCCTTCTGCCTGCTCTACTCCCTGCTCTGGCTCTGGTGAATTCTCTCACCCTCCTGCGCTTCTGACTGTACCCAGTGCATGTATAAACAAAACAAACAAACAAATAAATACAACATGCCTCTATAAAAAAAAAAACAAAAAAAACTTTAATAGGGCCTCCCCGGGTGGCGCAGCGGTTGAGCGCTGGGCTGCAAAGCTGCCTGCAGCTTCTGCAGTGCTGGTTCGAGTCCCAGCCACCCGTGAGGGTCCCACATGGCGCGCAGACCTCTCCTGCCGCCCGCTGCTCCCCTCAGCAGTGTCTTTCGTCGTTCTGCCTGTTCTGCTACCCGCTCTGGCTCTGGTGAATTCTCTCACCCTCCCACGCTTCTGACTGTACCCAGTGCTTGTGTAAATAAATATATAAATCTTAAAAAAAATTTTTTTTTAGGGCCTCCCCGGTGGCGCAGTGGTTGAGCGCTGGGTTGCGAAGCTGCCCGCGGCCTCTGCAGTGCCGGTTCGATCCCCGGCTGCTCCTCTGCCACCGGAGGAGGGTCCCACATGGCGCGCAGACCTCTCCTGCCGCCCACTGCTCCCCTCAGCAGTGTACTTCGGTCCTTCTGCCTGTTCTGCTCCCCGCTCTGGCTCTGGTGAATTCTCTCACCCTCCCGCGCTTCTGACTGTACCCAGTGCATGTATAAACAAAACAAACAAACAAAACAAATAAATAAATAAAAACATGCCTCTATTTAAAAAAAAAAAAAAAAAATTAAAAAAAAAAAAATTTTTTTTTAATAAAAAAATTTTGGCATTTGTTGACATTCTAGTTAGTCACTTTCTTCACTGCGATGTAATAAACAGTATATGATCATTCCCTTGTTGTCTGACAATTGTCAAGTTTTTGCTACCACTAATGATGCAGCATGAAATACGTATCTCCTTATGAACCTGTGTGCACTGTTCTCAGGGCAGGTATCTAGGAGTGCATTTTTGGGTGACAGGGTATATTCATCTTTAACTTTACTAGAGCTAGCCAAATTGAGCTCAAAAGCGATTGTACTAATTTGCACATCAGTGAATGAAACTTTTGGCTGTTTCATGTTTTTGCTAACAGTTGCATGCTATCAAACCACCATTTTCAAGTTCTTAAAAAGGTATTCTTACTAACCTTGGGATCAGGGCCTTGGACTCTTCAGCAGTCTCCGGGCAAAGATTGGCCAAACAGGCCAACTCAAACTTGTGAAGTTTTTTCTGGAGCAACAAGCTGATCACAGGAGAGAAAGTTAAAACAATCAAAACTACTGAACAGAAAAACGGATCATTGCAATCTCTATTCTTAGTGAATAGGAAGTTACAAAGAAATAAGGGAAAGACAGGGGCCTCACTGGTGGCATGAGGGGTTAAGTCTTAGCACTATCATGCTATCACTAGCCACTTCAACACAAGTTCAATCCCAGGTCAGGGAGCTAACCCACATGGCTCAGCAGACCTCTCCTGTCTCGGCCGCTGCTCCCCTCAGCAGGGTATTTCAGTCAACCTGCCTGTTCTGCTCCCCACTCTATCTCTGCTGAATCCTCTCACCCCCCGTACCGCTGGCCTACACTCCAGTACCTGTATACATAAATAAATAAAATCTTAAAAAAAAAAATTAATGCTACCATCTTAGAATCTATTCCAAATATTTTTGTTTTAGGACATAAACACACATTGTTTTATAAGTTTTTGTTAACTTTTAAAAAGCTATTTTCATTTTGTAAAAAAAATACTATAATCTTAGTACATGAGAAGAGGTTCATAATGCCAAATATATATGTACCTGGAGGGATCTGTGGTAAAATGAACACATGCTCATTTACAAACAGTACAAAAAAAATAGCAAGAAAATGAAATAACCTGAACTTCTACCAGAAATAAGCAATGTTAATATTTTCACGGAGAGTCCCTCACCTTCCTTTCTTTGATTTTTAAAAGGAATCATAACAAATGTTATTTTGTAACTGGCCTTTTTTCACTCAACATAATAGCTGTTTTCCATGCTGGTACACATAGAGCTCTGCCTGAACACAGCATTCTATTGAAAGGCTGTGACATAATTTATAATCAAACTTCCTGATGCTAAACATTTCATTTGTTTCCAAACATTCACCATTTGAAATAATATTTTTTGGGGCCTCCCTGATGGCGCAGTGGTTGAGCGCTGGGTTGCAAGGCTGCCCGCAGCCTCTGCAGCGCCAGTTCGATCCCCGGCTGCTCCCCAGCCACCGGAGGAGGGTCCCACATGGCGCGCAGACCTCTCCTGCCGCCCGCTGCTCCCCTCAGCAGTGTACTTCGGTCCTTCTGCCTGCTCTGCTCCCCGCTCTGGCTCTGGTGAATTCTCTCACCCTCCCGCGCCTCTGACTGTACCCAGTGCTTGTATAAATAAATTAATTAATAATAAAAAAAAAAGTGTTCATGAAATAATATTTTTTGAACATCATTGTGAATGCACTTCTTTTTTTGGTTTGTTTTAAAGATTTATTTTTATTTATGTATCCAAGAATTGGGATGCAGACCAATTCTGCATGGTGGTGCAGGGGATGAGAGGATTCACCAGCTAGAATAGGGAGCAGTGTATCTACTGAGATACACTGCTACATGTTTTAAAGAGAAGTTCCTGGAAGTAGACTTATTTATTTATTTAAAAAGATTTATTTATTTATGCATACAAGAACTGGGGTACAGGCCAGAGGTGGGGGGGGTGAGAGGATTCACCAGAGACAGAGTGGGGACAGAACAGCAGACTGACTGAAATATGCTGCTAAAGGGAGCAGCGGGTGAGACAGGAGAGGTGTGCTTTGCCATGTGGGTTAGCCCTGGGTGGCTGGAATAAACTTGTGCTGCTGAGGCTGTGGATAGCGTCACAGTGCTGTGCTTAACCCCTTGCACCACCCAGGAGGCCCTCAATCACAATTTTTAATGACAATATAGCAACCCATCAAATGGATATACCACAATTTATTTAACTATTGAATATTTAGGGTTTTTTGTTTGTTTTACTCTTGGCTATCATAAACAGCTATCTGGAAAGTATATGTACATATATACTTTTTGTCCATCACTTTTCCTTCAGGCAGTAATTCTCAGACATTTTCACAAGAGTAGAGACAGCAAGTACCCCTGGGCAACCTGGGCACAGAGGTTCAAATGACTCTGCAACTACAAGTTTTGAAGACTCATGATTTTATTTAAGAATCCATATGTGTTGTTTTACTCCAAATATGCTGGTATCTGCTTGATTTAATGTAGAAATGTGTTAAATGACCTACTATCAAGTAAAACTTATACTTTAGGAAGATGTGCTCCTTTTCCATCTGCCTCGGCACACTACTGTTTCCCAGGGTACAGTCAACCCAATCTGAGAAGCAATGCCTTTGAAGGCTCAAAGTTGACCATCTTTTGAAACGTAAGCAAAGATCCAGAAAGAATGCTCCTGATTTATACTTATTAGCACATAGATACCTAAGGCATTTCAGGTGAATAATAAATAATCCCACTTTCAGGCCTTTTGCTAAGCACGGGGGTTAAAGTCTCAGAGCTATCAAGCTATCGCCAGCCATTGCAGCAAGAGTTCAATCGCTGGCAGGGAGCTAACCCACATGGCACAACAGACATCTCCTGGCTCACCAGCTGGTCCCCTCAGCAGTGTATTTCAGTACATCTGCCTGTTTTTTGTTGGGGTTTTTTTTTTAAGGATTTATTTATGCATACAAGAACTGAGGTACAGGCCAGAGGCACAGGGGGACAGGATTCACCAGAGACAGTGTGGGGAATAAAACAGGTGGATCTAGTGAAATACGCTGCTGAGGAGAGCAGCGGGTGACCCAGCAGAGGTCTGCTGCACCATGTGGGTTGCTCCCTGCCTGGCCGGGGATTGAACTCGTGCTGTAGAGGCTGTGGATAGCTTCACCATGCTGTGCTTAAGTCCTTGCGCCACCAGGGAGGCCCAATAAATAAATCTTTAAAAAAAAAAAAAGGGGGGGTCCTCCTTGGTGGCACAAGGGGTTAAAATACAACCTATGAAGCTATCCACAGCCACTGCTGCACAAGTTTGATCCCTGCCTAGGGTGGCACCCACATGGCGCGGCAGACCTCTCCTGACTTGCCTGCTGCTCCCCTCAGCAGTGTTTTCAGTAGATTCGCCTATTTTGTTCCCCAAATATGGTGAATCCTTCATCCCCCCAACCTCTGGCCTATACCCCAGTTCTTGTATGCATAAATACATAAATCTTAAAAAAAAAAAAAAGCAGCAGCAGGTGGTCAAAAAAAATTTTAGCCTTATAAGCAATTTTTTAAATTCTGAACAAGATTATTATCTACTTACATTAAACACATAAGTGATGGCCATGGGAAAGGGAGTTTGGATTGGAAAAGGAGAAAACATCTTTTTACCTGCAGGTGTCCAATAGTTTGAATAAAAACTTTCTTTCCAGCAACAGCTCTCCTGCCTTCCTGTGACTATGCAAATGTTTCTCTTCATCAAGCTTCTCCATTTGCAAAGAAGCAGAATCTCCTCCCAAGACTCCCTGGCCTGTGACTATGGAGGCTTCTCTTTTAACAAACCTGTACATTAAAGGGGCAGCTCTTTCTGCCCTCTTATGTCTGTGCATGCATTCTTACTTCTATTCCCTTTTTTATAATAAACCCACCCTTTTGAATGAAAACAAAACACCTTTCTTTTTAGCACTCACCTACGAACACTGGCAATAGTCTCTCTATTTTTGAAACGGCTGAAGCGGGCGGTATAGTTTAAAGTTTTCATGAAGACATCAGAAAGTTCCTGTTCATCTTCTGCACTCTCATTCTGCTGTTTTCGATGCTCCAGAAGCATGTGAACTTCAGAATTTAGAAGAGTCTCAGCTGTTTCAAACTCTGTGAGAAGCATAAATGTCAGCTAAAAATATTCCTTCAAAAGTCATCTTCTAAATGTTTATTTTGCCTTGAGACTAATAGCAAGTCTCAGTACCTGCAGAAGTCTAGAGGTCTCACTCTCACAATTTTACCCTCATCCAAACTTGTATACCACAAGGCACATGAAGTTGCTGACACTAAAATTCAGCTCAATTGGGTGAGACAGTTATTAGGGTCAGAACCTGACCTAGCCATGCTATTTATGGCACCACTATTCTAATTAGGTGAATTAGTGATTTAAAAATGCAGCTTAGGGCCTCCCAGGTGGCGCAGTGGTTGAGCGCTGGGTTGCGAGGCTGCCCACGGCCTCTGCGGCGCCAGTTCAATCCCTGGCTGCTCCCGGGCCACGGGAGGAGGGTCCCGCATGGCGCGCAAACCTCTCCTGCCACTCGCTGCTCCCCTCAGCAGTGTACTTCGGTCCTTCTGCCTGCTCTGCTCCCCACTCTGGCTCTGGTGAATTCTCTCACCCTCCCGCGCTTCTGACTGTACCCAGTGCTTGTATAAATCAATCAATCAATCTTGCATAAATAATGTTTTTTAAAAAATAAATAAAAATGCAGCTTAACCAACAATTTCCCTCTAGCTTGCATGAACTAATAATCTTTCTACTTCCATGGTATTAACACTAATCTCAATTTAATGCCCCTCCCTGGTGGCGGCAAGGGGTTGTCTCAGCACTATGAAGCAATCCGAAGCCATTGCAGCACTGAGTTCATCCCAGGCCAGGAAATAACCCACAGGGTGCAGCAGACCCCTCCTGTCTCGCCTGCTGCTCCCCTCAACAGTGTATTTCAGTTCCATCTGCCTGTTCTGCTCCCCACTCTGCCTCTGGTGAATCCTCTCATGCCCCCACCCCCCACCCCAGCTCTTACAGGCATAAATAAAATAAATCTTAAAAAAAAAAAAGAACTATTACATATTATGGAGAGTCAAGTGTTTAGAAATACACATTAATAATTTATCTCAGGGGGCCTCCCTGGTGGCGCAAAGGGTGAAGTCTCAGCACTATGAAGCTATCTGTGTACCCCCATCTCTGCCCTATACCCCAGCTCTTGTGTGCATAAATCTTTAAAAAAGCAGTAATTTTTCTCAGAGATTCTCCTCCCAATACTGTTCACCTGTGACTATTCAGCTGTCCATTTTTTCCTAGTAAACCTGTCCTTTAAAAAATTTTTTTTTGCCTCCCCTGGTGGTGCAGCGGTTGAGCGTTGGGCTGCGAGGCTGCCCGCTGCCTCTGCAGGGCCGGTTCGTACCCCGGCAGCCCATGAGGGGCCCACCAAAAAAAAAAAAAAATATATATATATATTCTTCTTCTTTTTTTTTTTTTAAAGAATGTATCTCCAGGGCCTCCCTGGTGGTGCAAGGGGTTAAGCACCGCACTATGAAGCAATCCGTGGCCTCTGCAGCACCAGTTCCATCTCCCACTGGCTAGGGAGCATCCCACATGGCAAGGCAGACCTCTCCTGACTCGCCCGCTGCTCCCCTCAGCAGTGTTTCAATGAATCCACTGTTCTGGTCCCTGCTCTGTCTCTGGTGAATCCTCTCACACCCAGCGTCTCTGGCCTGTACCCCAGCTCTTGTATGCATAAATAAATAAATCTTTAAAAACAACAACAACAACAACAAAAGAATGTATCTCCAACTGTGTTTTTGTACCAGTACAAAATTATGGAGCAGGCACTGGGTTTGAGGTCAGAAATCTCTATCCTCTGTATTTCACTAAAATGTAGTTTGTCATCTACGGCTAATTCAAGTATTTGCCAGCACATACGTCTTGTCTTTGATTCTCATTTAAACTAATCCCTTTGCCCCCCACCTGTCTCTCCTTTCCCGCTATGGAAAAAATCAATCCTCTTGGCCTAGGTATAAGCAACCTTTTAAAAAAAAAAAACATTTTAAATATTTATTTATGCATACAAGAGCCGGGGCACAGGCCAGAGGTGCGGGGGGTGAGAGGATTCACCGGGGCCGGAGGGGAGCAGGCAAACTGAGGAAACACCGCCGACGGGCGGCGGGCGGGGGAGGGTCCGCCGCGCCGCGCGGGCAGCTCCTCGGCGGGCAGGGAGTGTGTGCCTCAGGGGCTGCGCGCAGCTTCCCAGGCTGCGTCTGGACCCCCCGCGCCACCAGGGCGGGCCTGTTACCCACATTTTTCGACGGACAACACTGGAGAGTATCAAAGAGGTGAGGCCGTCTGAGGACTGCGCTCGGCGCGGCGCTCCCCGGGGAGGCCGCGGACAGGCGGGCGGGGCCCAGGCCCTGCGCACGCGAGGGGCGACCGCGGCGGGAGCCCCACAGTAGGCGCCGCCCCGGCCCAGGCCCCGGACGAGGCCCGCGAAGACACGAGCGCGACGCGAGCAGCACCCGGGGCGCCCAGGGGCGCGGCCTCGGCCACGCGGCCCCCTCGGCCCGGCCCGGGCGGGAACGGCGCCTCGTCCCGCCCCGCGCCCCGCGGCCTCCCCGGCACACGCCCACCGGGACGCCCGCGCCCCCGGGCCCCCGCGGGCCCCCGCCCCTCCCCGCGGGCCTCCCGCCCCGGGGACCCCGCGCGGCCCGGGGAGGACAAAGCGACGGCCCCGCTGCGGGCGGCGGCCCCAGGCCCTGCCTTTGGGGAAGATGAGCTGCGAGGCGTCCTCCTCCACGTCGCCCGCCCGCGGGTCGCCGCCGCCCGCCGCCATCGCGACGCCCGGCACTGCCGCCCCCGCCGCCGGAAGCGGAAGCGCGGGACCGCGGGAGGGCGGGGGCGGGGCCGGCCGGGGCCGCGGGAGGGCGGGGGCGGGGGCGGGGCCAGAAAGCGCCCTGCGGGGGTGGGGCGACTGGGGGCCGCGGCGGTCGGGAGCCGCAGTCCGTCCTCCGCCGACTGGCCCTTTGCTTCTTACCTGGCGCGGCCTGGGCGCGAGCCCTGCAACGCAGCTTCCTCGCGCGCGGGCGGTGACACCGCGTCCCGCGGGACGGGCTTGGGGAGAGGCAGGAGCTCTCTCAGTGCTGTCCCGAGGCGCCCCCGGCGGAGAGCTGGACCGCGGCCGCGCCTTCTCTCCACAATCAGAACCTTTCATGGACAGTCATGGTTTGTCCTGACGCTCCTGAGCACGGACCTGCTGGTAGTGAGAGCCTTCAACACAGCGATTGCAACACTTAGATGATTCATAAAGAAGTAAGCAAATGAAAAATGATAGTTTTTAACCAGAGAAAAACAGACAGCTCTACAAATAAAGGCGATCATGACAGCACACAGCTTGGCCCAGTACTGCACGTATTTGGATATCCTGGAAACCATCACCCTAACAAAAAATGAACTATAAACTAGAATATCTACCTTTGATTTACATATATAATTTTTACAAAATTAATTTTTTCTGTCTGTACTGAGAGGAAAAGTGTATTGTGTAAACTAGTAGGCTATATAGTATTGGTAGAGCTTAAGTCTGTCAAAGTATTTTCCTACACGGTTCATTAGAGCCTCAGGAAGGAAGTTTTTTTTTTTTTTTTTTTAATAATAAATTTTATTGTTATATTCCCCATACAATTGCAGCCCCCCCATTCTGACCCCAATCCCTCCCCTCCCGCCCCCGCCCCCCAAAAAAGTGTCTCTGGTTCATAGTTTTTTGTTGATTTTGATTTTCACTTTCTTATAGTTATTCATTTTCCTGGTCCCTTATTTAAGTTTTCTAGATTCCTGCTATGAGTGAGACCATCCGGTATTTTTCTTTTTCTTTCTGGCTTATTTCGCTGAGCATGATCCCTTCCAGCGCCATCCATGTTGCTGCAAATTGCATGTGTTTATCTTTTTTGAATGCTGAGTAATATTCCATGGTATATATGTACCACATCTTCTTGATCCAGTCATCTATTTTTGGGCATTTGGGTTGTTTCCAAAGCTTAGCTATTGTAAACAGTGCTGCTATAAACATAGGGGTGCAGGTGTTCTTTGGAATTGATGTTTTTGTGTGCTTTGGGTAAATACCTAGGAGTGGAATTGCTGGATCATATGGAAGCTCTATGTTTAGTAGGTCCAGAAATCTCCACACAGCTTTCCACAGTGGTTGGACCAGTTTGCACTCCCACCAACAGTGCAGAAGAGTTCCTTTTTCTCCACACCCTCGCCAGCATTTGTTGTTGCTAGTTTTTTTAATATGTGCCATTCTCACTGGTGTAAGATGGTATCTCATGGTAGTTTTGATTTGCATTTCCCTGATGGCAAGTGATGTTGAACATTTTTTCATATGCCTGTTGGCCATTTGCATTTCCTCTTCAGAGAAGTTTCTTTTTAGCTCTTCTGCCCATTTTTTGACTGGATTCTTTTCTTTGTTGTTGTTGAGTCTCATCAGCTCTTTGCAGATTTTTGTGATCAGTCCTTTATCATTAGTGTTGGGTGCAAAAATGTTCTCCCAGTTGGTGGGGTTTCTCTTTGTTTTTGTTATTGTCTCTTTTGCTGTGCAGAAGCTCTTTAATTTGATGTAGTCCCAGCTGTTGATCTTTGCCTTCACTGTCACTGCTTTGGGTGATGTGTCTGTAAAGATGTCTTTGATGTGCAAATCACGTAGTGTTTCGCCTATATTTCCTTCTATATATTTTATGGTTTCAGGTCTTATGTCTAGTTCTTTAATCCATTTTGAGTTGATTTTTGTGTATGGTGTGAGGTAGTGGTCAAGCTTCATTCTTTTGCATGTAGCGACCCAGTTTTCCCAGCACCATTTATTGAACAAACTTTCTTTGCTCCAATGCATAGTCTTTGCTCCTTTGTCAAAGATTAGTTGACCATAAATCTGTGGGTTTATTTCTGGATTTTCTATTCGATTCCATTGGTCTGTATGTCTGTTCTTGTTCCAATACCATGCAGTTTTGATGATTATGGCTTTGTAGTATAGTTTGAAGTCTGGGAGTGTAATGCCTCCATTCCCTTCTTTTTTTTTCAGGAGAGCTTTGGCTATTCGGGGTTTTTTGTGATTCCATATGAATTTCATCAATAATTGTTCTATTTCTTTGAAGAATGACATTGAAATTTTGATTGGAATAGCATTGAATCTGTATATTGCTTTTGGAAGAATGGCCATTTTAATAATGTTTATTCTTCCAATCCACGAGCAGGGGATGTCTCTCCATTTCTTTGTGTCTTCTTCTATTTCTTTTAACAGTGTTTTATAGTTTTCTTTGTATAGGTCCTTTACCTCTTTTGTTAGATTTATTCCCAAATATTTGATTTTTTTTGTTTCAATAACAAAAGGGATGGTTTTTTTGATTTCTTCTTCTTCAGATTTATTGTTTGTGTATAGGAAGGCTACTGACTTTTGCGTGTTGATTTTGTATCCTGCCACTTTACTGAACTGATTGATGAGTTGAATTAGTTTTTCTGTGGAGTTTTTGGGGTTCTCTATGTATATTATCATATCATCTGCAAATAGTGATAGTTTGACTTCTTCTTTTCCTATTTGGATTCCTTGTATGTCTTTCTCTTGTCTTATTGCCCTGGCTAGGACTTCCAGTATTATATTGAAAAGCAGTGGTGAGAGTGGACATCCTTGTCTTGTTCCAGATCTTAATGGAATTGCTTTCAGCTTTTCACCATTGAGAATGATACTGGCTGTTGGCTTGTCATAGATGGCCTTTATGATGTTGAGGTATGTTCCTTGTATCCCAAGAATTTCAAGGGCTTTTATCATGAATGGGTGTTGCACTTTGTCGAAAGGGAAGTTTTTTTTTTTTTTTTGAAGTCTTTTTTTAAAAGATTTATTATTTATGCATACAAGAACTGGGGTACAGGCCAGAGGTGTGGGGGGTGAAAGGATTCACCAGAGACAGGGTGGGGAGCAGAACAGGCAGATTGACTGAAATACACTGCTGAGGGGAGCAGCGGGCAAGTCAGGAGAGGTCTCCTGCACCACGTGGGATTGAACTTGTGCTGCAGAGGCTGGGGATAGCTGGGGATATGCTTAACCCCTTGTGCCACCAGGGAGGCCCATCAAGGTAGAAGTCTTAGCAAAGAGTTCCAGGACATGCAGCACCTGGGTATTGAAAATTGACCTGGAACTCAATGTCAGCCTCTTCCTTTCATCATTCCAGCAGGCCGTTACAGAGCACCAGCTTCTTATTGGACCTTGCCATGTTCTGGCCAAGAGCTAGCTGGATAGCCAACACTTGGGATCTTCTGCACTCATACTGCAGGAGAGATGTTGGAGAGAAAAGAAAGGAGAATAGGGCCTTCCTGGTGACACAGGGGTTAAAGTCTCAGTGCTATCAAGCTATCACCAGCCACTGTGGCAGGAGTTCAGTTCCATCCCCAGCCAGGGAGCTAACCCACATAGTGCAGCAGACCTCTCCTGCCTCACCCGCTGCTCCCCTCAGCAGTCTATTTCAGTGGATCTGCCTGTTCTGCTCCCCATTCTCTGGTGAATCCACTCACCCTCCCACACCTCTGGCTTATACTCCAGTTCTTGTATGCATAAATAAATAAATCTTTTTTTTAAATAAAGAAATCTTTAAAAAAATTCTTGTGGACTGAATCACTTATGTCTTCTGCAGGATCCATATGTTGTATCCCTGCTATAAAATGATACTTCCAGTTCTCTTTATATTTATTGTTCAGAACTTCTGAATTTAAGCTATTCTTCCATAAGTTAAAAAAAAAATTGTTGGCACCTGCTGCTGGAAGTCCTCTGCTAGGTGATACAAAGGAAGCCAAAGGAATAAACACGCTATTAATACAGTCCTCAGAAATACAAAGGAATGGGTTATATGGGGGTTTAGTGTGATTCCAGAAACAGTCTTTGATTTCCAAGCAGTCTTCGGAAGGCTGTCCTGGGAGTTCTGGATTTGGATTCTAAGACTTTGTGGCAATGTTACAGGGCAGCAGTGATCCTAAAGTTGGTCCGCCCCATCGTACTATGCTGGTGCTGTTTTTGACTCCCTGAGAAACCCACTCTTAAGATCTTGCTTGGACTTAGTAGACCACCAGTTTCAAGACAGGAAGCCTATTCTGACTTGAAAGGCTGAGCACACACCATTATGCCAACTCCTATGTGCTCAGAGCAGTGGAGAGCTCTGGAGCCTTTGCCCCTCGCCCAGTAGTTCCCCTCTACACCTAGCAGTGATGACAGTCCATCAGAGAGTCAGTCATACAGCTGTTGCACCACATGCTAGGGCTTTGGCAAAGCATTTCCAAAAGGCTGCCTTGAAATTCACAGTCCTGACACAAAGCAGGAAAAAAAGCTCAGGCTGACTCCTCAACAGTTAAGATTTGAGCTCAAGGGGCATCCCTGGTAGCGCAAGGGGTTAAGCACAACACTGTGAGGCAAACTGCAGACTCTACACCAAAAGTTCAATCCCCAGCCAAACAGGTACCATATGGTGCAGTAGACCTCCCCAGGCTCACCCACTGCTCCCCTCAGCAGTGTATTTTGGTCCTTCTGCCTGTTCTGTTCCCCACTCTGTCTCTGGTGAATCCTCTCACCCTCCTGCACATCTGGCCTGTACCCTGGTTCTTGTATAAATAAATCTTTAAAAATAAAATAAAATCTATGCTTAACCAGTAGCTTGTAGTCTATTTCCAAAACTACTAATTCTGACAGCATGTCTGCCAGTGGCCATATGCTTGAGTTCTGTCAAGTGGGAGAAACTTAGGGACCTCCCTAGTGGTGCAAGGGGTTAAGTAAGCACAGCGCTGCGAAGCTGTCGGCAGCCTCTGCAGCACCAGTTGGATCCCCGGCCAGCCAGGGAGCTACC